TGATGGATGCTGATTACAAACGTGATTGGTTAGATGAAGTTGTTGTTGGTGATTTGGGCAATCGGACCTATTAGAAGGTGGTATTTAGTGAGCTTTTAAACTACTGTAAAGCCATTTGAAGGAAATTTAATGGCTGGGGTGGGGAAGAGGGGTAGGGGTGGTATTAGTGTGTGTGTGTGTGTGTGTGTGTGTGTGTGTGTGTGTGTCTAATCCGCTTTGAATATGCTGATTTTCCATACCTACCTACTTCCTGTGGGGGTGTGGGTGGGGAGGTGTTAGAGTGTCTGACCAAACATCATTCATTTCCACTTTATACATACGGGTCATGTTTGTTTACTCTATATACAGGTTCTATACTAACTCACTTTCACTCGCACTCCTCACTCACTCCTCCACTCTCACCCACTTTCCATATCATCACCACGCTCTCACACACTGGTTTTAATTAGTGCAGCGGTTATTATGTGATTGCCTTAGTACATGGTAGGTGGGTGTAATGCGTAATTTATGGTCAGTTATATAATGTCAGAGAGAGAGAGAGAGAGAGATCATGCGTCAATAACAACCTAGATCAAACGCTTAGACACACCATGACAACCCTCCCCTCCTGACACCCCTCCTCTCCCCTGATACCCCCTCACCTCATACCTCTCCCTCATCCTCCCTCCCCTGATACCCCCACCTCCTTATGCCCCTCTCCCCTGACACCTCCTCCTCCACGCCTCATGACAACACCCTCTCCTCCCTCCCTCATCTCTACCCTGACATCATCCTCCCCCTTTCCCTTGCCCCTTCCCCCTCCCCTGACAACGTTCTCCCAACACGCCGCTGCTCACTGAACTGCCACCATCAAACGTGTAAGCAGCATTATGACCTGATTTCCGATCCTTTGTGGAAGTTTCCGTTTCATTTTATTTTTTATTTTTTTGTGTGAGGGAAAAGATTATGAAAGTGTATTGAAGATTATTGCTTTCGTGTGTGTGTGTGTGTGTGTGTGTGTGTGTGTGTGTGTGTGTGTGTGTGTGTGTGTGTGTGTGTGTGTGTGTCTGTCTGTCTGTCTGTCTGTCTGTGATTGTTTACTTGGGTTTAACTTCCACTGTTTTATAATCTTTAAAAAAAATATTATTGACTCAAGCATTTTACGTATGATCAGATTCCAAACGGTATTATTCTTTTTTCTTTTTCTTTCTTTCAAATTATCACAAAATCCAATCATCTACATGTTTATAATTAAATACGAAAGACGAGAAAACCTAGAGCTGAGACGAAATTGCCCGCTCTTGTTTCCATCCGACCCAAACAGAAAACGAAATTGATTCCTGGAAAAAAAAAATCATATCAATTCTTGGGCGTCTCATTAGTGCTGAGTTTATTGGCTTCTATATTTAACGGTGTAATTGTGAGGTTACTAAGCGTGGTGATAATGGTGGAGGAGTTAACCGGGGTACTAATAGGATCCGAACTTTGGAGATAACCGAATTTGGGATAACCGGATTTGGGATATGTTTTGATATGGGGATAACTTTTTTTTGTGAATGGTCTGACGTCATTGGGCAGGAGGAGTCATTTGTCTACTTATAATTGGGTTTCACCTCTCTCTTCAAGTTACCCTCCTACACACACACACACACACACACACACATAATCCTGTTTTAATTTTGGCTGTTTGAGTGGGTGGGATGACGTGTGTGTGGAGATGAATAAATGACAGGCGATGGATGATTGTGGATGGTGGAGTGGATGTATTGTTAGTTTGTGACGATGTGGCATGGATGGTATGATTGGAGAGTCTTGGTGGATTAACCTGCTAATCCACCTCCAATCCCAGTGATAATTAAACTCTTGTCCTCACCTAAATATGTATATTGTAATTCCCATAGTTGAGAGAGAGAGAGAGTTGAGAATGTCAAAGAAGAAGAAATGGAGAGAGAAAACAGAGAAGAGAGGAGAGAGAGAGGTTGAGAATGTCGAAGAAGAGAGAAAGAAGAAATGAGAGAGAGAAAACAGAAAACGAGAGAGAGAGAGAGGTTGAGAATGTCGAGAGAGAGAAAGAAGAAATAAGAGAGAGAGAGAGAGAGAGAGAAGTTGAGAATGTCGGAAGAGAGAAAAGAAGAAATGAGAAGAGTCAGAGAGAAGTCAAGAGAGAGAGAGAGAGAGAGAGAGAGAGAGAGAGAGAGAAGACCAGCACTGTTATTCTACCAAAGTTCAGTTCAACTTTGGCAGAATAACATTCTTGGAAATTCTGTAGTTTGGAAATGTGTGGGCGGAGAATGACGTCATATGAGGGTTGGAAATGACGTGCAGGGATAAAGATGTATACCTCTGGGAATATTTAGAAACGTCCTATTTAGTGGGGTTCATCATTCCTATGGCAGGTCACGGTCATCATTCCTATGTAGCAGGTCACACGGTCATCATTCTATGTAGCGAGGTCACACGGTCATCATTCCTGTGTGAGTCACACAGTCATCATTCCTATGTGGCGAGGTCACACGGTCATCATTCCTATGGCGAGGTCACAGTCATCATTCCTGTATGGCGAGGTCACACGGTCATCATTCCTATGTAGCGAGGTCACAGTCATCATTTCTATGTAGACGTGTGAAGACAATCCAAAATTGGCCTGTCGACTTCACTTTTGCATACTCATGATGACGTTGCAAAAATATCACCGAGTCTAGGTGTCACGGAACTGATGTAATTAACTCACTCGACAAACAAACTAGTCGACATTTGTGCTGGTTAGGTTAGACTTTCACTTTGATTTTTTTGCGTCATGGATCAGGTGGGCGACGCAAGATTGTATTGAAGACGCTGCAGTGTGTATATGAGGGGTTGAGGTGGTGTTCGTGATGAGTAGAATGAGGGGAACATGGAAAAGTCACGGGACAAAATATTGGGAATAAAATCACAGGAAAAAACTATTGGAAAAAAGTCACCTAACGTAACCAAAATTGTGACTTTTTTCCTGTCTCCATTATATATAGGGCATTCGGCCTCCACTCGATCGTCATTTGTTTACACCGATTTTTGGCGCAAAACTTATTTATTTTAATATTTTAACCAGATTTTTTTTTATCACTAAACTATTTAAAGTTACTTAATTTTTTGGGGGGCCAGAGATATGTAAGTTGTTTTATTTTGATCGTAAGAATTTAAAGTTGCCGAGTTTTTATATTGCTTGTGGAGAGAAAATAATAACGACGACAAATGAAGGACTTGGCTGATGTATGCTGTAGCTGAGTAAGAATTTTGTAGAAGAGTATTGGATAGAATTTTTTTTTTGCATAAAAAATATTACATACTGTAGTAAGAACTGAGTTGCAATATATGATCGGATAAAATAACGATGTCTAATTCTCAATGATTTTGTATCCATGACTTAGGAAGATCAAAGATATAATTGGCTAATATGCCTCTTTGATTTGTTAATGATGGGAGACAATTATCAGCAAACATATCATAGTGACAGCGGCAATATGTTAACCATAACAGAAAACATGAACAAAGTGTCGATTAGTGTTGTCAGTTACAAAACATGCCGGGGACTACGGCGTATCGAGGAGAGAAGTTGAGATGAGACGTGAGTGTAGCAGCGTATGGCGACACAACCACCGCTTAGCCAAACTTGCCGAACGAAAACTTAACCAACATAAAGGTAATGCCCCTCCGTCCCTATGCTTATTCTTAACTAACATACTGTGTATTAATTACAGCTCGGCTAGGACCACTACACCCAACCATTTTTTTTCGACAAGCACAATGACTGACCGATCGTCTGCCATATTTGTACATTATGTAGACTATTTATATATTATATTATATGTGGTAGGTGGGTGAAAAAAAAAAAAAAAAATATATATATATATATATATATATATATATATATATATATATATATATATATATATATATATATATATATATATATATATATATATATATATATATATATATATATATATATATATTTATTGCTAGGCTGTTGGGTAATACATGTCGTTTGTCTGCCAGTCACAAACACAAAACAACTAAAATACCTCGTTTGTATACTAGAAAAAAAATGATAAAAACTCCTTTTGACCCTCACTGTCTTGATAAACAAAAACACAATGGACTTTAGCCGGTGCTTCCGGCGTCATCCTCCTCCATACAGTAGTTGTGTCTAGAGCAATAACATCATCCACAGCCAATGAGGACCTGTACAGTGATGGGTGAAGAACCTGGGGCAGAGTATCCACTTGGTATGTGGTATAGGGTGTCCCAGAAAAAAATGTCCTCACTCCTCCTCCTGCCTGCTCTCTCCTCCTGGAGGGAGGAAAGGCAGGTATGACACACAGGAGAGAAGCAGGAAAACTTTCCTAGGACACCCCTATATTGTCTCTCTCCTCTCTCTCTCTCTCTCTCTCTCCTCTCTCTCTCTCTCTCTCTCTCTCTCTCTCTCTCTCTCTCTCTCTCTCTTCTCTCTCTCTCTCTCTCTCCTCTCTCTCTCTCTCTCTCTCTCTCTCTCTCTCTCTCTCTCTCTCTCTCTCTCTCTCTCTCTCTCTCTCTCTCTCTCTCTCTCTCTCTCTCTCTCTCTCTCTCTCTCTCTCTCTCTCTCTCTCTCTCTCTCTCTCTCTCTCTCTCTCTCTCTCTCTCTCTCTCTCTCTCTCTCTCTCTCTCTCTCTCTCTCTCTCTCTCTCTCTCTCTCTCTCTCTCTCTCTCTCTCTCTCTCTCTCTCCTCTCTCTCTCTCTCTCTCTCTCTCTCTCTCTCTCTCAATGCTAAAGTTGTAATTGTGGGTGCTTGAGAAGGAAAGAGTTGTAAATGCTAGTGGGGGTTATGCATTCATGTTAACTATCATTTTGTGTCTATGCTTGCCTCTGATGACCAAAACTGCATCTGTGGTAGCAGTGGTGGTGGTAGTAGTTGTGGTAAAACAGAAACTTGTTACATGCAGACTTGTCACTGACTGTTTTATGCATCACCACACACTAATGCCTTGATCTTTTCTCCTCAACAGCTAAGATTGAGGATATTCTTCATCGCCTCAACCAAGACAAGGCTCGATGGCACTACAGGCGCTCCTTGTTCCTCAATAAGATCATCTCCAAGGTCAGTGGCACTCTTATGTCTCTAGGGTTAGTGGCACTTTCTTGTTAGGGGTCACCTGAGGATTAGGAACCACAGCTTAATTTCATTTGATTTGATACCCTAACCTAACTTCACCTCACTCCTCATCTGACTTCAGTACCTCACCTCACCTCACCTCATCCCTTCGTTAGACCTGTTCATTAGGCTCCTCACACATAAGCCACTTAAAGATGCCTAAAATGCAACATACTGTATATGTTTATAGGGAAGACTGCACACTGGTCATTATTTGTGGCAGCTGCAGAAAAATGGCACCCGGCTTTGTTTTATCCACCCACACCACATTGACCGACCACCAACAGCCAGTGATAGAACCAAGTACAGTACAGTAAAACCTCTATTTAACGGACTACATTGAGAGACAAATCCGTTATATCAAGGGGCCATTAGTTGTGAATCCCCATCTAACGAACTATACATAGATATGAAGGTCCATTATATTGAGGGTCCGTTAGATATGACACCCCATCTAGCGGAGTATAGGGAGAGATATGGCTGTTATATGGAGGTTTTACTGTAATTTAAATGAAGATCCACACGCGAGATGCTATTTTGTGACCTTAGGTGGCTATCTGTTTTGTTTTCATGCCTTAGCTTAGAGTTACTGATCATCTCTTCTGCTGGCAGTTTCCCGTGGTGGTGATTTGTTGAGCAATTGCTAGTCCAGTTATGGTTATTAATTCATTAAGTGTATTGGAAGTAATTGTAAAGTAGACAGAAAACTTATCACTGTGGAATCTTAAATCCTGACACAGTAGAGACTAAAATTGACCCCCTGGCCAACCTCTGAGTAACAAGCTGTAGGGATGGTGGTCTTTACATGTTTCCTACTTTCCAGTTAGGGGTTAAAGGTTAAATTTTCTTATTCTCCCCACAGGATGGATTACTGTGTAGTGATAAATTGTACTAAAATTTGTAGTCAATAATTAACATCACTCTTTCTTATTTCCAGAACCTTTTGCCTATACTGGTACACATTAAGGAGGACCGAGGACTGATTGAGGCAACAGTGAAGTAAGTACTGTAGTTTGTTGAGCTGTTGTGTTTTGGTCACTCTTTGGTACCCTGTAAAGTGAGGTTCATAGGCTGCTTCTAGTGGAATTCATTTCATTGGGATAATTTATTATATTTGTCAGTTTTTGTCCATCTGGCCCACAGTGTAAGATGTAGAGCAGTTTGTTCCTCTTTACTGGTGTATAATTTTGGGGTCACTTGAAGATTAGTCCCCAACAAGTAACATGTACTGTATATCTCTCACTAATGGGCTCACTCCCCAGCCTGGGACAGATGTGAGGAGGGTGTTATCCAGTGTGACACCACCAAACATGGAGATTTTCTTGAGAAATTCTGGTTTCCTCCTGTACTAACGCTCGACGGTAAAGGTCGTAGCAAAGTAACAAGAAACAGACCAAATGGCTAATAAGCTGATCAATGGTGGACTAATGAATTTAACAATAAAATAAAGCTTAACTCCCCTAACACTTAACCTAACTCCCCTAGGTAGCATCAGGGTGTTGTTAGTGTGAGACATTAAAGTAATCAACACCTGCCAGGATATTACTGTAGTTCATCTCTCTTGTGTCTTTAATGGCCTTTTCTACCTCCTCAGAGTCCTTCAGGAGTTGATGACCCCTGTGGAATGCCTCATGCCCGCCGAGATTATGAGTCGCAACAATGAGGGTCATCGAATTATCCATGAGTTGGAATCATCCATCGTATCGGCCAAGAAACTTTTCCTTGACACTCGCGTCACAAAGTCTATTATTGACTTGATGAGTTCAGTCTTACAGGTGAGTCAGTCTCTCTCTCTCTCTCCTTAAATTTCTTTTTTTGTTTCTCTCTAATAATTGCTTAACTAACATAAACACTTACACTTTTTTTTGTAGGATTCAATATTGATTCTTTCTCCTCACATTTTTTCTCACTTTTTTAACTAGTAATTACTTAACCTTATGTGTATGGGGTCCTCTTTCTACTGAATAAAATCATCTGGCATTACCCAAATGAAATATTAAAAGTGGCATTAAGTGAGGGAGTTAAACTAATTTCCACCTTCTCTTTTCTAGGACTCAAAGATCTTGAGCCTTCCTGAGTGTGAGCTGATAAACCAGTGTCTCCTGTTAGTAAGAAACTTGTTACACGTGAGCAACATCCCAAGTGTTCACCATAAAACAACCTACAGTTCCCCTGCTGCTGCTAAACAACAGGTTCGTTATACCATACACTGTACTTGAACATGTTCCCCCAAAATAGTTGTCGTCATCATTTTTTGGCCATTTTATGTGCTTGTTTACAGTAGATGTACATTATTGTACATTATTGATACAGTACAGGTACAGTTTTTTATGTGTTAAGATGTCACAACTTCACCGGCATTAATGAATATATTTTTTTAGGCTGTACATAATGTTTTATTTGAATTTAAGTCGCTTTTTATGCTACCTAACACAGGCATGTGATGGGACTGATGCCTTTAGGATTTTTTCTATGACAACAGATTCAAAGAATTTCCAAACCAGTTTTTGTATATTTTCTCTTTGTGTAAATCTTACGTTTACATTATACCGAGATATCAATATTTACATCTTCTTTAGGGAGGAAACGGTCCAGCAATAATCACAGAAGACCAGATCATGTGGAACTTGTTTGCTCAGCGCTTCGATAACATATTAATACAGCTGTTGACGTGTGACCAACAGGTGAGTGAGCAGGTGTACAGATACCATAACAGGTCAAGAGTTTCCCCTCTAAACAATAATTTCTGAGTCACATTTTGCTTATAGATTTTAGTTTCATAGTTGATTGTTCTTTACAGTTATTGCTTAGGGCTTTAGAGTGGCAATTTTTTTAACTTCATTTTATTATCATGTAAGCTTCATTAACTTCATTTTATTATCATGTAAGCTTCATTAACTTCATTTTATTATCATGTAAGCTTCATTAACTTCATTTTAGAATCTGTTTATTGACATTTATTCTCATCAGGTTAATATGTGTTACAACTTGTGTTAACAGACAGGGTACAGCACAGTACAGTAAGACAAGACAAAGAATCTATACCATTAGCTAGATATTCACAGTGTGTTGTCTCTTCCTCTGCCAGCATCTGTGGAACATCACGATGGTCCAGCTTGTGTCCCTCATGTACCGGGAGCAGCAGCAGGGGACGATACGGAAGCTGATTAACGAATGGCTGGAGTCGTCCCTATCAGAGAGCTCGGAAGACGACGAAAATAACCCCATGTCGTCCTCGTCTTCGGTGAGTGTAGTTTAGGGAACGTTACAGTGCTGTATTAAGTATCGGTCGTCTTGCTTGATGATTTAGGAAACTGTGTACAGTATATAGATATTTGTACCTTGGGGGTATTAGTGGTGGTGGAAGAGGATTACTTTAACATGAAGGAAAGTGTTATTTTTTGCCACCCAACAGTAAGTGGGAAAGACATATGTTACAGAAGACTATATATACAGGTATCTGTCTTTAAAATATACTACTTTTTAAGAATAGTGTGAATATAATTTGAATACTTTGAGAGAGATTTTATATATATAGTAAACTTGTTGTATGCTTATTGGCTTATTGATATTATACATAGATGAAATATTGAATGTCTAATATTTCCTACATGACAGTATTTTGTGTCAGTGATATTATTTTGACATTTAATTTTTCATTTGTGATTTTTATTGTTTTTATTTTGGGGAAGAAATTGTGCCTTTATATATTGTACATACAAGTTATATAATGAATTTCTTCTCAACAGGATGCCATCTCCACGTCAGATCCGGTCTCCGATTCCTCCGAGAGACTCTCGCCGGTGGACGGCATGGTCAAGGTGGAGAAAGACCGCGACAAGATAGTACAAATGAATGAAAACTCAGACACTTCACGAGAGACCCGGAGAAAAATGGATAAGGAGGACAGCAGTAAAGACAGTGGGTTTGGTAGATCAGGGTCCAACATGGACTCCTCCCCTGATGAAGGTGCATCTGAAGACACCACTAGAGACTCCCCACTACACAAACAACAACACAGAGATAACCGGAATAATACAAAGTTAAGGTACCCACAGTCGTCCACTAAGGGGTCTGCGAGGCAGACATTGACTGGGCAAAGTTTTGTGTCTCAAAAGGAAATGCAAGATGAAAAAGTGTTTGGAATGGCTACCTGTTGTTTAGAAATGGAAAATGCCAAAGACGTTATGTGTGACACGAAGAGTCTAGAAGAGTACGAGGGCAATGAGCGTGTGGAGCACGTGTGTGACCGCGGCGCCTGTGAGGGCAGCAGTCCTATACCAGGCATGGAACAACCCTCTCCCCTTTCTCTGCTTCATAATGAGAGTGGAGACTCCAATCCTCATCAGTTCATGGACAATGGTCAAGGAGAGAACAGTACAGTTGAACCATATTTATTAGATGAAAATCACGGCGAGCCTTTAGTCCTTCAGGGGGACACCATGACGCCCATGGAAGACAATACGGTGAAGCAACAGATCTGTCTCTCTCAAGAAACGGTTAAAAGACCACCAAATGAGGAGGAGTCGGGATCTAGCGGGGACTCCAGCGAAAAGAAACCCCCACCACAATTACCCAAACTTCTTAAAAATAAACCTCTAACGGGTCAAAAGCGTTCCAGACACACCATGTCACAGAAGATGCTTTCTGACACCCAAGAGCACATAGAGTCGAGTAACTCGACGGGCTCGGAGTGCGACGAGGGTCCCCACGCTAAGCGACCGCACCATCAGAAGCCTCATAAAATGCTGAGTAAACCTCGACCGGCAAAGATGTTACAAAAAGCTCTACAGGAGAGAAACATCAAACGAACTAAATTAATTAAAAGAAAAGAGAGCAACGGCATAAACGCCAAAGCGCTCCTACACCATCACCCCACGGCGGACGACATCTCCAACTTACTCAAGGAATTTACAGTCGATTTTATGCTTAACGGTTACTCCAACTTGCTACAGGGTCTCCGGCTTCAGGTCATGCTGCCGTATCAGATTGACCTGGACAAGTCTCACGTGTTGTGGCTCATCACCTACTTTCTCCGCTTTGCTGTAGAGTTGGACCTGGAACTGTCTCAGATATGTCCAGTTCTCTCTGTGGACGTAAGTATTGGTGCAGAATTTGTCTTATAGGATGTACGGTATTGTCTTGTGATACGAGCTAATTTGAATTATGCTTATTTAGTAACATTTATAAGTGTTTAGACAGATTTATCCTACTTTTTTGCTTCAGTCTTTCTTTCACTAGAAACATTTCGTTCATGACATGGGCTTAAGCATGTCACCTCTCTTGGAATCTTCTCATGCATGTCATTTAATGGCCGGCGTCTTTCAGGTGGTGTCGTACTTGGTGTATGAGGGAGTGGTGATGCAGGAGGAACTGGAGAGAGCCGTGCGTGGTGGGGAGGAGAACCTGCTGCCCCACGTCCGCCGCCTCCATCTGGTTGTCACCGCCCTCAGAGAGTTCTTTGTGGCCTTTGATGTTTGCATGAAGAAGGACCAGAGCTTGTTTGACACGAGGCATCTCGTGCGGATTAAAGGTGGGTTTACTTTGTACCGGGTCTTAAGCAACATAATTTTTGCCTAAAGAGATTATGTGTACTTGGTGTTGATGTCTGTTGTAAGAAATAAAATGAAAGAGAAATTGGTTTATTTATTGTTTCGTTTGGTTGACATTAAACGTGTGGTCTTGTACAAGTGAGGACAAAATGTTGTTGTTGTAGTTTAGACATTGGTATAGTGTGGGAGGGGGGGAGGTATAATGGAGATAGAAGGATGGAGGGTGAATGTGATGATAGAGGGTGAAAAGGTAGATGAGATGATGGAGGGGGAAGGATGTCCCCAAAAAGACAGGGATGGACATGAAGAAGATGCCATTTTGTGTGTGAAAGGTTTGTGATATTTTTGTAGTAGATCATGACATAGCAAGATTATTTTTTTTTATTATTATTGTCTGATTGGAGTTACCTCCCAAAAAATACTCCAAATTGCCTTGTTTATCGCTGTCACTTGAGACCGTCGGCATCGCTATCATTAATCGTGGGTGTTGTGCCTAACGTTAGTACTTAATGCCCCCCGACAGATGATCTCGGACAGTTGGTAGAGGTGCGGCAACTATTTGTGTTGCTGATTCGCTTGTACCGGCCGGGGGTGCTGAATCTCAATTACCTTCAGGATTTAATCACCACCAACCACCGATTCCTCACCACTCAGGAAGCCAGCAGTCCCACTCTACCATCCGACCAAGCTTTTGACATTGTTAACCACATCAAGCAGTAAGTTGTGAATTATTATCTTAGTTGTAAGTAAAAAGAAAATGTTATCTCGAAAATCTGTTTAATATCCGGTATGTAAAGTACTGTACACTGTCAACAAAATCTTCTCTAATACCTGGGCACGATGGATGCAAGAATAGGCAGAATGGGGCTTGTCATCTGGGAATGGTTTCAGATTCTTCGTTCATTTTTCAGATTACATAGTGATTATAGCGTTCAGGAAGTTTTTGGTGAGACTGTACAATTGAGACTATTGTTTATATTGAGTGTGGAGAAGCATAAATACGGTGGAGAGTAGAGTCTTATACTTGAATTGATATTTAGTAAGTTTAAAGAACACTCTCTACATTATTCACTCTTCTATTTAACCAGATTCGCCACCATGGACATTATGCGTCAGTATGGACGACTTCTGGAAAACTTCAACATTAACGATGAAACGGTGAACGACTGCATCTTCACCATGATGCACCACATTGCGGGAGACCTGAGGAATGTTAATGTGTTACTCCAGCCGGTCATCCTTAGAGTGTTCTTACGCATCTGGAAGGAAGGTTTTGAACTCTGTGTGGTAAGAAGCATTAAAAATCTGTTCAAATATAGAGGGATTATTTTCAGGGCCTTAATTGTTCACATAAGGGATTAACTTTCATGGCTATAATTGTTCACATAAGGGATTAACTTTCATGGCTATAATTGTTCACATAAGGGATTACTTTCATGGCTATAATTGTTCACATAAGGGATTACTTTCATTGCTATAATTGTTCACATAAGGGATTAACTTTCATGGCTATAATTGTTCACATAAGGGATTAACTTTCATGGCTATAATTGTTCACATAAGGGATTACTTTCATGGCTATAATTGTTCACATAAGGGATTACTTTCATTGCTATAATTGTTCACATAAGGGATAACTTTCATGGCTATAATTCACATATATAGGGATTATTGCCTGATATAATATACAGTAGTCACGTTTTACATGGCACCGTACATGGAAGAATTAGACATGTTATAAAATGAAAAACAATATGATAGAAAATGATCTGTTTCGTACCCTTATTGTATGTTCATAGAGACTCCATACACCTTTCAGGATTGGGCCGATCTGATTGAGTATGTCCTGCGCAAGTGCACACGTGTACGCATGGAACACCCTAACAAGAAAGAGAACAAGGACTCCCAGAAACCAGCTCCAGAACACGCAGGGATTGAATTAACGTGAGTACTGTTGATTTATCTCGTGAGTCCGATCAGAGAGCTTATACCCAGTGTGAAGGACTGAGATTTGTAACGTGTGGAAAATTTAAAAATGTACAGTACTGGGTATGAGCAGTTTGATCACAACATCATTGAGAGCTTGAGGCATGCTGAGATTACCCCTCAAAATAACAGATTAGGTTAGGTTATGTAATGTAATGTTAAGTTAGATTAGGTTAAGTTTAAGTTTGGTTAGATTAGGTCTTGATTGAACTGCACATGTTTCAGCACGGTATCATCTCAGCACGTCACGCCGGTACTAAATCCCATATCGTGCTGACTTAATTTTGCTAATTTTCCAGTAGACTTTAAGTTATTGGTAATAGGTTTAAATATGATGTTGTGCTGTATAACATAGTCAAATATGGTGTTAACAATATATGCCTACTACACCATGCCATTAGGAAGTCACAACTCGCCCTCACAAATATGGAAAAATGGCCAGGAAGCGATGATGGTGATGTTGATAAATTACTTAAAAATCACTAATATTGTGTATTTGTTATTTCTCAGTAGATTAGTTAAAGATACAGACCCAGGTAGTGAAGTATATAAGGTAAAGGCAGGTAATTGATAAGTAACTGGATGTTTCTTCTTGGTACTAGGAACGAGGACCTGGATCAGCTATATACCCTGTACTCCACCTCCACCAGTGAGCAGGACCTGATGGATAAGATCAAGGAGATATGCTGTGATGATTCTATTGAGGAGCCCATCAAGAAGGAGGTGAGTGATGTGTTTATTACAGTATAATATTTCTCTTCTCTTCTCTTCTCTTCTCTTCTCTTCTCTTCTCTTCTCTTCTCTTCTCTTCTCTGTACACTATCCTCACTTGATGTGTGAGGTCTCATACTGTTACCTGTTGAATTTAGTAATCTATCTTAACACTTTTTTCTCACACAGGTAATCCAGAAGTTACTGGCCCGAGGCTTCATCACCACAAGTGAATGTTCTAAACTCTGTGCAGAGATTCCCACCGTGAGTTGCCATTATTCTCGATTACACTAAAGTAACTCTAGACTGTAACTTGTTATTTGTGATGTTTAAGACTTGGTGTAGAAGTTTTATGATAATTATATAAAGGTTTTCATGAGTTTTGGAATAGTGATAAACTGTATCAGGTCGATTTTTTTCATTATTTTTTGTTTTTTATTTTTTTTTCGGAATTCATATAATACACATAAATGGTATACAGGAAATGTCTCTTAGGTTATGATAATTATTTTAACAAGGTGAATAAATAATTGTACAGTATCCTTTACTGATTATTTTCACCACAGGTTGAACCCCGGGCGAACAAATCTGAGGGAGAAATCAGTCTGGAGTGTGACGTGATGCTGGTCAGTAGTGACTCCGAGGACTCTGTGGACGACCCTCACACACTCAAGTTATTTAAGAAGAAGAACTCAGACAAGAGCCCCAGTCTCAAGGTGAAGAGCATAGACTCCACTATAAATTACCTACAGAAACAAGAGATAAAGATTATTCTGGATAACAAGGATTCCTGCGACCATGGACAAGGTCTGTATAGTACAGTACTACCTTGCTGAAGCTTATCACACTTGTATATACATATAACCTATATAATGATTATTTAGTGTCTCAGAAAAATGTATACACAAAGCCATACAGATTTTAATACAATTGCCATAAAAATCTGTAAGGCAGCGTGTACACATTTTTCTGAGACCCTGTAGTTTATATAGTCGTGAAGTTAATGTTGCTCATAAATGTTTATAGACTGTTGTTTTAATGTGTGGTGATCCATTGTGTCACCAACAGTGTCTGATAAAGCTGAAGGCAGTGTGGAAGGTAACATGACCAGCACCGAGGACAGCACAGACTGGGACGACAGTGCAACTATAGCCTACCTTATTGGTGAGTGTATACAGTACCAGTGTTTTCTTGATGTGTCACTATACAGAGAGATGTTCTTAATACTGTAGTGGGATGTCAGTGGTTTATTGTTCTGGTAAGAACTGGAGGAGTAGGTTTTGTTCTTGTCTGTCCATCCATTAAATGACCAAATCAATTGTTTGAAAGTTTCCACCAGTACTCCTCACCTTCTGGGAATAATGCAGGTCATTGAATTACAGATCCTTTTACTGCCAACACTAAATTAACTGTGGGAACTCCCCTTGGCCACTAGGCACCATTGTCTTATTGCATGTGTACTGTACTGTACTGTGCTGTGACCCATCCTGCTGTAAACCTGCCTTTATTTACTATAAAAAAAAATTGGTATTTTTTATTAATACATTGAGAAAATGAAAGTCTCATAATGTAAAGTTTAAAAATAATTAGCAAGTGGTATTGAAAAAAAGTTTACTTTATAATATTTATTTTTTAACCAACAGATAAACTTAAAGAAGAAGGATATGGGAGTCAAGTGTTGTGGCTGCAGTTGCAGCTTCTAGAAGCATGTTACTCAAAAGTCAAGTTTATGGGCCAAGATGCACCCAAGTCTGAACCTGTCACCTGCCACTTTACCTGTGAGTTGTGTTGTTGTTGTCTCATACTGTACACTTATACACACACACACACATTACCAGTTTTCTTCATACTTCCTTCCTAAACAGACTTGTGTGACAACATAGATATTAAGTCTTCAACATTGCTTAACAGATGATACAAATAGAGTCTTGGTCAAGCTTCTCACTGGTCATCACCACACTTGAGTTTGAAACACTTTAACAGTGATGGCTTGTCCGTCACATACCATAGTGAAGCAACTGGCATCTGCTTGTGGCATAAGTATCTCTAAAGAAATAATGAGAATGCACTTACTGCGTATCCGTGATGGATAAAATTAATGTAGAGCTGCAGGAAAGGTTAAAAAAAACTAAGATGATCAGCTGCTAGACAGAAAACTTGAGTCTGTCAAGTCTAGAGATGAATAATTTATTAAACTCCCATTTGATCTCCTGTACTATAACATTTCTTCCATCACCTTCATTGTTTACTGTGTTAACAATATTCACAAACCTTGTTTGTTTTAGATAATTTTAAAGTTATTTAAAGTAGAAGAGAATACTGTGCCCAGTTAATAGTTTCTATAGACATTATCATCTCATGTTACTGTACTGTATATATTATTGACTGTGGTTTTACATTACAGTATCAAACCAGTCCATACCCATAATACCATGGACGGGAGACCAGGAGGAAGCCTTCAGCTCACCAACGTTTCGTCATCTTCTTGGGGAACTGGGTTTCCATCTTCCCTCCGACACGGGCAAAATATTTCCCAGAATCCCCCACTTCTGGTGCCCGGATGTTCTGTTCATGGTCGCCAAACGTCTTGGACCCATTCCATCAAGTAAGTTTGTCATAACTTGTGTTGTTCTGTGTTAGTAACAATAAATGTTGTTTATAAATGAGACAAAAATGTTCAGGAGGCATTTGTTCTCCATCAGGTAAGTGATGTAATATCTTCATATCTACAAATATTTTGAGGTTTTCACAAACTTACCACAATCCACTGCATAGTATTTTTCTTAGTGTTTTTAAGAAAACCTGAATGATACTTTTATTATGTATTTCCATTTTACCATTACTGTACTGTACTACCATTATGAGACTGAACACTTTTAATTCTAACTGTTGTAAGACTGTCTGTGTGTGTGTGTAGGAAACTTGAGAGGGTTGGTTACCAATTGATGGAAGTTCATCATATTGACGACCTTCCTGGTACATCCTGGTCTACTGAGAAAATGATGGTGAACCTTGGATGAGGTTTTGTCATGTACTTAGAGAATAGCAAAAAAAGAAAAAAAAGAAAAGAGAACCCTCTTTTGTCTTGTAATTAAAAAAAATTCTGTATATAAAATTATTCTGGGTGATTCAGACATTACAAGTGCCTAGGAAACAATAATTCCATAAAACAAAAGATTAATACTTTATACTTATTAATGCTTACTTGGGGTGCTCACCAGTGTTTAATGATGAGAATATGATGTTCATTGGCCCCCTCCTTAAGAGTTCCTGGGGTCTTCCCTCACTTGCTTCTAGGGAGAGGAAATTATCTATTTTAGGGTTTCCTGCTCAGAGGTCGTTATTGAGCAAGTTGTGGAGTCCTGAATTAATTGCTCATCTTGGCAGAACCCCACTCAGTACAGTATGTTAAGACTGCCTGGTCCCCTCCACTATAAAACACTTGCTGGTCGAGTGTTCCAGTCTAGGGGACCTTGGTAGGAGGCATGTCTCTAGGACTATAGGATGGGATGGTTTCTGCTACCTTTCCTTGTTTCTTGCAGCAGATTTCTCATTTCCAGAGTATGAAGTTTTTAAGGTGACTGACATCCTTCAGAATTTATAAGTTAGTTTTTGTAGACTTTAGAGTATACTGTAGTTGCAACTGTATGTATGTGTTGTATATAGATTTATTTTACATTCATTTTAAATTGAAAACCTTTTAAAATGAGTAAAGCATCACATGACTCACAGTACTATGAAGACACCAAGGATACTGCCATACAAATCAATCAATTAATTCTCATCTTGTTATGAGGGTTAGTGGCTGTGTGTCTCCTTTTTCAGTCTTAAAGATACACACAAGCTGGTTGGTTTAGAGCCTGGAGATAAAGGGGGATGCTCGTGTGTCCCAGAGGAGATAAAGGGGGATGCTCGTGTGTCCCAAAGGAGATAAAGGGGGGGTGCTCGTGTGTCCCAGAGGAGATAAAGGGGGATGCTCGTGTGTCCCAAAGGAGATAAAGGGGGGGTGCTCGTGTGTCCCAACGTAGATAAAGGGGGATGCTCGTGTGTCCCAGAAAAAGTGGTTCCTCAGAATTCTGTTACAAAATACAGAGCTTGAATCTGGTTGTTACATGGAACAGGAAAAATAATGTGTTTGGGAAGAGTTTGTTAAGTTGGGAAGGAGGTGAGCAAGTTGTGGTAAGCCTCCAGAAAGGGTTACATGTCCAACTCCTTGCTTTAGTTTACTTCAGGGTTGAGACACATCATCACTACATGCACTGCATATGACAGGGAAATAGTCCTCAGGTTTACTACTGGTTAGGATATACAGTGGTCCCTCGGTTAACGAGCACAATCCGTTCCAGCAGGTTGCTCGTTAACCGAAAAACTTGTTAACCGAAACCATTGTTTCTTTGGGTTTTTGGGTAATTGGTTCCAGCTCACCGAAAATTGCCTAAATTCAACAAAAAAGGTAGAAAAGTACACTTACTTTGAGGTGTGTATGTAGAAGGCTCCTGGATGATGACAATGATGATGATGGGAATTAGAATGGGGGTGGAGGAGAAGAAGAGAAGGCATTGGGGTGGAAGAGAAGTCACCCCATGGCACCATTTCACCCATAAAATTTTAGTTCTCTTGGTGTATTTCAAGATTATTTTCTTTAAATCAACACTGCACTGCATTATATATTGTCAATATGTAAAATATATTTCAAAATGACCAATAATTTGCTTGGAAAGACGGAAAAAAAGCGTTTAGTTGAAGAGTCTCAAGCAAGATGTTACCCCCACTGAAAACAGAGACTAACGCCTGTCTGGTGTGTTAACAGGCTGGATGGCACGCCAGAAACTAGTTTCTTTACCTTCAATTATGTTCAATAATTGTTAAAATGACTGAAAAAGTTAATATTAAACTTTTAAAATTATTGAATACTAGTATAAACTTCTTGATATTTACTAAAATAGTAAGGAATTTAATCCCTAGAACCGATTACTGTATTGGCTGATTAATACTACAGCTGGTGGACCGCCAAATGCAAGCGAAAACATGTTGAAGTCGGCAAGTAAAAAACTTGTTAATCGAGGGATTGCTCGTTAACCGAAGTTAAGAATCTTATGGAAGGTAAATCGTTAACCGAGGGACCACTGTATTACCACTTTTTTTCTCTCTCTCCCTGTCAGAATATTTTGTCCTTCAGTTTTTATTATTAGATATTAATATTTTTTCAAATTTTTTGGACCTGATATGAATATTTTTATCGTCTGGCCTTGTGGCAGGTTGTAGCGCGGACCTTCGTTGAGTTTTCCATTGATTTACCACTTGTATTGCAGGTACCCTGAAGGTGTCTGTTGAGCGGATTCAGGAGATGATGCAACAGATGCGATCGATGTCTCTCACTGTTGCCCACAGACCCCTTGGCATTCAGTAAGTTTGTCATAAACACAGTGGTGGATCTAGAATGCTGTAATATCTTACTTTGTTTTGTATATGTCAGTATGACCCTATAAAACAGATTTCATTTTCTCTTGAGCTCTGGCTTTAGATGGACCACAATTGTGTTGTTGTTGATTATGTTAGAAGCTTAACATACAAGGGTTTAGGAATTCCTAAATCAGAAAGTTGATGTTCGTCTTGTATACAGTACTTGTCATCTGATATGCTCACACAGTCCAATATTTCAATCATTTATTAATTACAGTTATTTTTGAGACTGGTTGATGAAATGACAGTTTACACAGCATGCAGATGTTGAGTGTTGCGTCAAGGCATCAGTACCTCAGTGTATGGTGATGTGTGTTGGGGAAGACTTGGCATGTGTCGCCCTGATGTGGGAAGTAGCTTGCTTGAGTTACCCGTCAAGTCTATTTTCACAAATCATTGTTGAATCTTCTGCAGCTGGGCACAAGTTTTTCTCTCTCTCTACATCTCTTTAGATGTGCGAACTTAAATATTATCTGAACCTGAGACCAATTGACGAGTCCTTAAATTTTGCATGTTGATGTGCCTTCAGTTGGGTGGGAAGAATTCCTCAATACTGGCTTAGGACGACGAGTTTCCTGAAGTAAATATATTTTCTACTTACAGTTGTCCATTGGGAAAGTTACAAATTATCTGAATGGATTCCCAGAATTTCTAGTTAGTGTTTTCACTTTTAAAGTTAAACTGTTGCCTTTAAGCTAGTTGCCCCCCAAAAAATGACATATTAATCTTCATTTTTATAAAGCTCATTTGAGAAATGCGCATTATAGTATTGAGTACAACTTGCAACAATTACTACTTAACAAAACTAAGGAGTTGTATTAAATGAACTTGATTATCATCAATATAAATTCCATTACAACAATTGATGCTTATTGTCTTAATGAATTATGAGAATTGTAAAAGTTCATTGACAGTTCAAAGATCAACAGAGAACCCATGTTATACATACTGTACATGTTATTCCTCCGGTCCACTATGTGTACGACCGTTAGCATGAGACTGTCATACAAATGTCCAGTTAAAAACAGATGTTACTTATTCACAATCTGCCACCTGTCTGTGTGCACATAAATTTTAGTGCCAGGTACAGTACAGTACGTAGTTGCATTTTGCCGAGCAACTTTGACATTTTGATGCTGATGGTGGTATTTGCCGAAGAAAATATTTTTTTTGACCTTGATGTGGCATTCCGAGATCAAGGTGAAACCGTTATATCTTGCCCATCTACAGTGTCTCCTTCTGTCCACTGTATGTGTGACCTTTATGTGGGAGTTCATCAGTTGTTGCTGGGCAGCTTCCCGACAGTGTGATGGACACATGAGTGGGTGGAACTTCCTTATAAAGTACAGTACTACATGAGTTGTAAAATTAAATCTTAAACTGGATCAACTGTTGAGTGCAAATTATCTAAATCAATCTATATAATGGACCACAAATTGTATAAGTTCAGTGCCCATCACAGTTCAGTAAATATAATGATACCATTAGGCCATCCTTGATAAATAGTTACAAAATTCATGTTTTCTGTGAATTTTACGTGTTGTAGATCACTGGAAGATGTTGTGCTTAGCAGTGTAACTGGCAGATGGTAGCTGATTAATGTTTTTATTCCCATGGCTTTACCATTAACCCTACAATTATTGTGGTTACACACTCGTGTGCCCTCTGGCCATTACGTAGCCAATAGCATTGACACACAGGTGCGTTGAGGTTTTAAAAGGCCCGTGTCTGCATATTCCACGGCAACCAGTAGTGCATTCTCAGATACCCGAGTGTTTATCACCCCCGCCACTGGCCGCCAGAGACCACCTCGCGTTACCAGCGCCCTGTGCTGCGGTGAGTACATCCTTTACCATTTCATTTATTATGTCTTTCCATGGAAATGTCTTATTTTCATTTGACATTGATGGAGGTACAATATATTACATTAAACACCACCAGTACTTGGTGGTATAGTGCTGTACAGTACTAGGGGAGGGGGAGATGGGTGTACAGAGAGCAGGACCACCTCCCTCTTTACTTACTTCCTTTGTTTCTGCACTTTACCCACCCACCCAGTGTCTCAACAACTATCACTTTCTCTCGTCTAGTATGCTGTTACGCACCTCTTCAGAGTTCTCTCTGTCAGGCGGTCACTTCTCCAAACTCCCACAGTGATTCTGAAACTTTGTCTGTTAAGTCTTGATCTGTCCCTTTTATCACCTCGGCCTCATTTCACACAAGCACTTTATCACACACTCCTTAGTCTCTATTAATCTTAGGGGGTCATTTGCTTCTCTTCTTCATTACTTGTTGCTAATCTCGACTTTTTTTATTTCCCTTAAGTTGAATGTGAGTCTCAATCCCTTAGTACAATACATACATCTTCCAGCTGTTCTTTATTGTTAAACCACGTTACACAGCAGTCCTCCTCCTCCTCTACCACCTCCTCCTCTACCACCTCCTCCTCTACCACCTCCTCCTCCTCCTCCTCCTCCCAGCAGCATTCTCACTTAACATTCTTGTCTTGGGAAACGTCATCAACTATACTGTATACTACACTTTCAATCCCGCCAGTTTACTCTCAGTAACTTCACAGCGGCGTCAGTGTATGGTAATGCCCGACCTCCCACTTATTGTCATCGCAGGTCATGTTTTGTTCTACTGTTGTCCATTCTGGCTTTATTTTATTTACTTATCTTATTTTTTTACAATTTAATCTATTGATACGAAATAACAAATGATATCGCACTCACTCACTTGTCTTTCCACATACAGTACTTGTCATTCTACACACCTGTCAGTCCACACTCCTGTCATTCCATACACCTGATATTCCACACACCTGTCTTTCCACCCCTGTCTTAGCCTCTAATTCAGCATTATTTATACAGTATTACCCTCCACCAGTGTCACCTTATTTAGCACACAGTCTTTTGTGTTGACTTATTACCATAGTTTATTAGGAGGCTCATATTTCATCCTGTATATCTTCAACTACGACTCCTACCTTGTTCTCCATCTGCATTTCTTGTTTCAAACCATCAGAATCTCTTATGTCAATCAATCATTCGTCCATTCTTCTTGTTTCAAACCGTCAGAATCTCTTATGTCAATGAATCATTCGTCCATTCTTCTTGTTTCAAACCATCAGAATCTCTTATGTCAATCAATCATTCGTCCATTCTTCTTGTTTCAAACCGTCAGAATCTCTTATGTCAATGAATCATTCGTCCATTCTTCTTGTTTCAAACCGTCAGAATCTCTTATGTCAATGAATCATTCGTCCATTCTTCTTGTTTCAAACCGTCAGAATCTCTTATGTCAATGAATCATTCGTCCATTCTTCTTGTTTCAAACCGTCAGAATCTCTTATGTCAATGAATCATTCGTCCATTCTTCTTGTTTCAAACCGTCAGAATCTCTTATGTCAATGAATCATTCGTCCATTCTTCTTGTTTCAAACCGTCAGAATCTCTTATGTCAATGAATCATTCGTCCATTCTTCTTGTTTCAAACCGTCAGAATCTCTTATGTCAATGAATCATTCGTCCATTCTTCTTGTTTCAAACCGTCAGAATCTCTTATGTCAATGAATCATTCGTCCATTCTTCTTGTTTCAAACCGTCAGAATCTCTTATGTCAATCTGTCATACTACTGACACATGATCTAGTAGGCCTCTCCCCCACACATCTCTCTTTCAAAACCTACACTAAGTATCATGTCTTTTATATTTTTCTAACTAGAATTATTTTAAATCTGAGGCCACCAGTTATCTAGAGAGCATTATACAGAGAATCACTTGTCTCTGCATGGACTCCACCACAATGCCAGGGGCCACCTTACTGAGTCTTTGGGGGGGGTCTTTGGGTCGAGGTTATGATTCGAAGGACCGTCTGAATTCGTGGATGGTCTTGAAATTACGGACATTCAAGAAAATATCCGCTAGAGGGATGAGTTTAAGCGATGGGTCTTTACAAAGGACCGCTCGACTTCATTCTGAATGTCGATGAATTTTTATAAATCTCCTGAGCCACTTTGAGTCACCTATCTTTGCTTTACTGTATGGGGAAACTAGATACTGTACTTTGGGAAAACTGTTCCAATACAGTATATTGTTTTTGGCCTTAATGTCAGCAGTGTTAAGTAGTAAGGTATTGCTTTAGGAATAGATCTTGTGATTTTGGGAAGAAGATCCAAGTTTTAATGTCTTAACTTAGTGTAGTGTCAGCTGGATCAACACCCACCATCACCTAGGTTGTACTGTACTGTCCTTGTATTGGGAATGGTCATTTTGCAACCATTGTATCTTGGCCCTACAGTATGTTAGTTTTGTCTTGTTGCAGTGATATGAATGATTGCATGGGTGAAGCAAGTTGTAAACCAGATTGAGAGGCAGTGTATATATTATCACACTAGGGGAGGAGGTCTTGAGAGGCAGTGCAGATGTTGTCACACTAGGGGAGGTCTTGTTTATAGCTATTATATGTATGCGTTAGTGTTGTCCTCTGTTTAGTCACGTCCGTCACACAAAGAACTGAATATTGTAGGGTTATAGTCAATATCTAAATCCATGAGCCATGTCTTGGTATTCCTCATAAGATGGGTCATGTTTTAGGTAGAAATTTAGATCATATTGTAACAGTCGATTACAGTTGTAATACCAATCACAGCTGGGGTGCAGAGTAGGCATAGTCATAGTAGGTTGAGATGCCATTTTCAGAGGGTTATGATGTTTGTGTTTAGTAATTAAAACAAAACCATTAGCGTTGAAATATCTATCCAAACAGAAGATAGGACTCTAAAATAAACTGAACCCTGTATAGTAAATCCTTTATGGTAGACTGGAAGGTATTGGAAGTTGAGGGGTAAGTTTGGTGAATAGGATACACTTGATGTTGGTTCTTAAACTGCCCAACATCCCTGTGGCAGGATGACTTGGTGTGTGGGTGCTCCTCCCTCTTGAATATACTGTTCCTGTGCATTCTCAGACTCAGCACTTGCATCACATACATTATACATTGGCTATAAAGTGCAGTCCTTCAGAGCCAAAAGTATGGTAGACCCTTGCCATTCGTGAGTTTGCGATTTGCTATTTCGACGATTCGTGGTAAGCAGACGGTGGCTATGATGGCTAGCTTGAAAGCTTTTTCCCGCAGCACGACGAGTCACCCCGCGCAGCATCTCGTGTTGTACTCACAAAACTTTAGTGTTTCTGTGTGAAATGGGCTCCAAAAGACTGCCTAGTGTCAGTGCTACTGATGCTAGTGGAGTGAAATATAAAAGGCATAAGTCAGTGATGATCCTGACAAAGAAAATATTATTATTAGATGAGTTAAAAGAGTGGATGAGTGCTGCCGGGGCTGGTCAGTTGTGCACTAAGGCAGTATAAGTTGTTATTCACGGTTTTGCCAATTCGCGTCAATTCGTGAATGGTAAGGGTCAACTGCACTGTACAGTGACCCCTCGTTTAACGAACGCCTCGGTTTACAAAATTTCGGTTAACGAACTGCCTTCCATAAGGATCTTCAATTCGGTTAACGAACAAAAATTCGGTTAACGAATTTCTTATGAACCGACCTCAACATGTTTTCGATTGCACTGACCGGGCAACCAGCTTTAGTATCAGTCCCCCAATACATTAATCGGTTCTAGGGATTAAATTCCTTACTATTTTAGTAAATATCAAGAAGTTTATACTATTCAATAATTTTAAAAGTTTAATATTCAATTTTTTAGTCATTTTAACAATTATTGAACATAATTGAAGGTAAAGTGACTAGTTCAATGCGCGGCATCCAGCCTCTTAACACAGCAAACAGGCGTTAGTCTCTCTCTGTTTTCAGTGGAGGTAACATCTTGCTTGAGACTCTCTTCAACTAAACGCTTTTTTTCTGTGTTTCCAAGCAAATTATTGGTCATTTTGAAATATATTTTACATATTGACAATATATAATGCAGTGCAGTGTTGATTTAAAGAAAATAATCTTGAAATACACCAAGAGAACTAAAATTTTATGGGTGAAATGGTGCCATGGGGTGACTTCTCTTCTTCCTTCTCCTCCACCCCCATTCTAATTCCCATCGTCATCATCCAGGAGCCTTCTACATACACACCTCAAAGTAAGTGAGCTTTTCTACCATTTTTGTTGAATTTAGGAAATTTTCGGTGAGCTGGAACCAATTACCCAAAAACCCATTGAAACAATGGTTTCGGTTAACGAACTTTTCGGTTAACGAACGACCTTCTGGAACGGATTGAGTTCGTTAACCGAGGGGTCACTGTACAGTATATAGAACATACATCTACTCTTGTTCATTGTATTGTTATTTATTCATTTATATATTTATTTTTAGACACTTTCTTCTGAGGTTGTGTTTTTTTAAGTGTCAGAGTCTGTCTTTTTACTTTACAAAATGAAATAGATACACATTGTAATTACCTTCGTGGGTGTTCAGTTTTATTTTCCATTCCTGTTCTGTTTTCCCTTGAGTTGTAGTTTTAGATTTATACCCATAGTTCTGGTTATGGTTTAAACAGTGGCTGTGTCATGTCAAGTGTGGGGGTCCTCTCTGAACTGAATAAAATTGTCTGGCGATAGCTAAATAAAATATTAAAAGTGGCGTCCCCGTAGTGAAAGGGTTCAAGGAATATACAGTACTGTAGTATATACAGTTTACAATTTTTACCTTACAGGATCCTAGAAAACAACTTAAGATTATCAGACTGGATTGAACTGTGAATAAATTCTAGTTAATTTATGGCAAATAATGTGAACCTGAACAATTGACAGTAGATATTAACCCATTAAGACCAGACAGGGATTACACAGTAGCCCTCCATCAGCTTGGTCAATATAATACTGTACCAAGAATATATATAAGGACTTAGGTGGAGTTAATAATCCTTGGTGTCCTGGTCTAGAATAACATTATTGGTTCTGTATTTAAGGGTCATACTGTATACATATACTGTATGTACATGTAAATGAAGTTTGTCCTACAGTACGTATTATATAATGACCTTAATATTTGGGTCCACCACTGAAATAACATCATCTGGTTGTTACAGATGCAGTCGCGAGTGTGCTGTTGGCATGATATGTTTAGAAAGTTTGTAGTTTAAGATGATCTGCTTTAGAACTATGATGCTTTAAGTCATTGTTGAAGAATCGTGTCCTGATGTATATGTTGTACTGTAAGAAATTATTTGGGTACTTCTTCAGTTATACATTTTTATTTAGATTATGTAGTTTCTGGTTCATCCAGACAATGACGGAAGTTTATGAAGGAAAAGATTCCACCAGTGACATGCGTCTGTCAGAAGATTTAATACTTTAAGGTGCAATAACACTTTATTTTTAGGCAGATGAGTAGTTGCTAGGACACATTTTTTTATTGTGCAGTACAGTATTGAGTATCATCGGTCAGTGACCTTGTTTTAGCCCCCTAGAGCTGGTCAGTTATTTCTTGGGTGAAATGTTATCTGTTAGAGGTGATTTATCATTACTTGGTGCATGTTGCATGAGTTAGTACTGTATAGTCTACAGTTGAGGTAAGTACTGTATATTGAGTAAGCTGGTGATGTTGTAAAAGGGGGACTAACTCACATAAAAGTTTCTATATATACTGTACTGTATACTACCTGGGAGTATGTACCTAGAACAATTTAATGATTTTGTGTGTGTTTTGTAAGTTACAAGACTTGTGTACACTGCTCAATGCCCTTAGCAGCTGAAGCACCGAACTCTGTAGCGACAATACTGTAGGTTGATGGCCAGATTTATCTTTTATGGGAGGTTTATGAAAGAAGACACTATATCCTGTTTGGTATTGTGAAGGTAAGTGTACAGCATTACTCCAGTGAATGCCCTTGTGTTCAGCTGTTCAAATTGTGAGACTATTCACTGTATCTTCTGATTACTTGCTACATGAAAGAAAAGGCTTGGATTATATGCATGAGGGAGGAAAAGCATCTCATTATCGTTGATAATTATTTTGTTCAATGATGTTATCAACCTTATACAGGTAGTGCTGTTTTTTGGCTGTACAATTAGATACTGTATTTTTCCCATTAAAAATTTGAGACGTGTGTGTTGGTTAGTACTGTATATAATCCCTCTCACTCCACGAAGTACCTCACTTCAAGAGCATTAACAAAATTTGGCTAAAAGTCAGAGGGACAATAGTGAAGTGATTTACTCTCAACATCTGAATTAATGATAAAAATCAATGCAACAGCACTGACTGTAAGACCTACATTTGCATGCAGTATTTCTAATGGGGTGCAGCTGCTGAGTGCCTACTGTACTGTGCTGCTGTTTGTGCATCGGCCACCCCCTCCACTCAGCTGTTGAATAGGAACCTGATTTTGGAGTTGAAGTTATGAAGACAATTGAGTAGAGTTTTGTCCACACTGCCTCCTTGTGTACCAAAGGTTTAGTGTTCAGAGTAATGTATTATATTGGCACACTACCAAATGTACACTTGTCATTAGCAAGCAGAATGCATATTTCATTGGCTATGCAAACTTTTTCTACTTAATGCAACTCAGAATCTACCCCCAGTACCAGTGTTAGGCTAAGTGTCTGCTATGTTGGGACTGAAACCCCCTGAACACAGTGCATTAAGAACGTAAAGTATGGGAAGTTGTGGAATACCAGTCTGATTTAGTGATTTCTTCCCCCCCCACCATTCCCCTTCAGTATACCAGCACCTCATTTAGTTAATAAGATAAGAAGGATATTAAACAACTTAGCCTCTGGTCTTGAGTCTGTTTAGAGTTGAAAATCCTGTTATTTAAGTTATACCATTAGTCCTTAGCTGTAATAGTCCACTCTGCAGGCAGTTTTAATGACTAAGCTGAGAAGAAAATACCTGCCTGCACCCCAGTTCAATCATGTCATGGACTTGCCCGCGGCTTGCACATCCAAGCTTCAGGAAAGTTGACAAAAGACTGCTGCATATCCTACTCACTATCGCTCATGGACCTTAAGTCCAAGGCAGGTTTATGGGATTGAACCTTGTCAATGGCCCGTCTGATTTGACTGGTGAACCACTGACTAGAATTTTAATTGGTTTGCTTTATCATCTTCCTCCCTGGTCACCTCACTAGGTTTGGGTGTTCATTCTGATTCACCTTTTTAAAATTGCTCCATTAGTGTGTCTTTTTAAAACTGTTCCACGAGTAAACTTTTTCAGACCATTTGGTATCAGTTGCCAACAATGTAAGTACATATCTGTTCAACTTTGTCTTGACAACCAATGAACTCACTAAAAAAAACTATCTCCCATTGGACAACATTGTAACAAACTATAAGATAAGTGGAAAAAATTGGAATGAGTTAAACAAGGGATGGTACCAATATAAATAGTGTTTATACCATGCAGTGTATTGTGGTAATAATATTACTGTATTTATCTTCACTCCAGGTGTGTTTACTAAGATGTTCATTCATAACATAACCATGATTTTTTTTTTCCCCAACAGAGGTGAAGACTCGTATGTTGTTAAAGGAACTTCATCCCTCGACTGTGATGATTCATTTGAGAGGGTCAGCGACTGCTCCATGGAAAACAATCGTTCCAGTCCCTCCTCGCCGGTTTCGTCAGTAGACGAGAAGCTTACGTTACTTCACGATGACGAATCTTCAAACATCAGTCTGCCTGCCCAAAGGTATGACAGTCACAGTGTTATGAGTTTTTATCCACTCCTTGCTCTCCCAGCTAGAGTAAGTGTTAACAGTTTTTACCATTCAATAATAACCTTTTATGTCTTCACTCACATATTAATGCCTTTTGTTCTTTGTGAAAGTATCCTAAATCTTTAAACACATCTTAGTATTAGTGTGAAATACTCAAATTGATAAGGTTTGAAACTATTTTAGCTCATAGTTTAGCATTGTAACTAAAGGGAAATGAGTGCATGCAGCAGGTGCTAATTTTGAGGAATAGAATAATACATTACATAGAGTGTGAGACATTGTAAACCACGATACAGTGTTGCTTTTAATAAACATTCGAATGTGTCAAGATCACATGAGGTAGATACGATTTACTTAATATTTCTTTCACTTGGTATGAAAAGGATGAGTTAAATATATTTAGATTTTTTAATGTATTTTATAGCCATACCACATTAGGAACACACACACACACACACACACACACACACACACACACACAGCAGAGTGATACTCTTGTTCATGAAGATGCAGTATTGGATGGATGACTCCCAAGGGAAACTATATCATCCAGGGCAACATGCCACTGTGCCTTGGTCTACTGTAGTATTTCCTAAACCTTTCACCACACCTGTAGTGTGTGCACTCAAACTTTGCAACAGAAGCTTGAGGTCAGTTTGTAGCAAGGCAGCTGATTGTCTAGTGGACATACACATCAAGAATCAATACAGTTTTTTAGTATTTAATATACAGTATTATATTTATATTTATATTTTGATATTTTAAGGGATAATATTTTTTCTGTGTTGATCTGATAATTTCCTCAATTGTGGAAGCAAAAATTAACTTGTGAAGCTTCCGGTAACGTAAATATCTTGAGAACATAAATGAGCTCAGGGACTTTAGTAAACTCTCCCTTGCTGCTTGATGCAAAATTGGGAGAGGATGTTGCTGAAATTTTGTAATGTTTTTCATGTTCTCTTTTGTTGTTTCTGTTACCAGTGAGTTTCACAAGTTAATTTTTGCTCCCCAAGTGCAGAAATTACCAGATTAAGACAGAAAAGTTATTACTGTACCTCGATACACCGGACTAATTGGGGTGGCAGATCCCAGTCTGGAAAAAGCGAAAAAAAAAAGTGATTATGGGGGGAGGGGGTGGGTCTGACATAATCCTGCTTATCTGGCCTGTTACTATAAAATCAGACATAAGTCTGGGTGTCAACAACTGTTTTCACTGATAAGATTGTTTTGTATTGTAAATGATTATATGTAAGTATTGGCAGCCACAGACTGCATGAAAGTCACTTAAACGTCCTTTTTGCCTCATGAATAAAGAAAAAACACAAACTGGCTAGACTGATGCTGGATTTTCAGGGTTTGCTGTATAGCAAAATATACCCCTTCCTGAGCGGACAGGGTTAACATTGTTTTACATTAAATTTATTTTTCCATATATGTAAGAACTCATCTTTTGTATGCCACCAAAGTTTGCAACTGCTGATACACTGTTCTGCCCAGAGATTTTTTGGGCCCCTACTCTCATGCCCACTCAGCTTCTGTTTTAGCAAGTGTTAAGGTTTCCTCTGGGGAGTTTGGGTAATTTATTTGTGTGGCTTTGGGGTATACAGTACTCCACAAAATAACATGCTGACCAAGGCAGGTTAGTGTGTACCCATCACACTTTAATCAGGTTTCTTATGGCTGGATCCACCAGGGTTTGACCATCCAGTTGGTTCTCACCTTAAACACACCTATTTTAACCTTACTAGCACTGTGAAGGGGGTGTGATAGTCAGGTGGGTACAGCTGTCGCCTCCTGTCCTGAGGGTTGCTGGCTCATATCTGGGCACCTCCCGGTCCACAGAGCCGTGAATGAGTACCTAACTGTAGTTGGGTGAGAAGTGCAGCGTCGGCCACACTGCCTCCTTGTGTACTGAAGGCTTAGTATTCAATGTGCTGTATCTACGCTGCCCCTAATGGGACTTCAGGCCTGTGGAATTTACTTTCACTCCTTTGAGACCCATACACACTGTATATATACAGTACTTGTACATGTTTAGTTGTTTGTGTGTATTTTTACATACTTTTATATATATGATTGTACTGTATGAGTGCTCGACAAGATGCTTAAAACAGAAGGACTCGGCTAGAGCAGTTCCAGGTGCACATTGCCAGTTTAACTACAGTTTAAATATTATAAATATTTATAGAGGTACTACAGTACTTCAACCAGTGGACCAAATTTTCTTGCTGCCACTTTTAATCCACAAATCAACATTAAGAATATAAGAAATTAGTCAAATATTTTCCATTAACTACAGCTGCTCCCCGACTTACGACGGGGTTAGGGACCAACATCCAGGTCGTAAGTCGGAAATGCTTAAATAATACATAGAAAATCTAAAATGGGGGGTCTCTTTATCTTCTCAGCACCACAAAACACTCACTTTTTAAGCTTCCCAGCCATTTTTAAGTGAATTGCAGATGAAAATTTTGTCTGTTTACTGACTTTGGGACTTGAAAATACGTAATTTGACAAAATTTTGGTACGACTGAGGCAGGTCGTAAGTGCGGGTGGACGTAAGTCGAGTAGGTCGTAAGTCGGGAGGAGCTGTATTGAATTCTATCCTTGTGGTAAATCTTGAGTCATGCCCAAATTCTCTTATGAAATTTAATAGTTTCCTGTTAATTAATTTAACCTTATCACTTTACAAAAATTGTATCAGAAAAACATTGCTACTTTTTAAACATGTTCATATAATGTAAAAGTTATCAACAATATGCACTTATCATATTCCACTGAAAAATAAGAGTTTCCAAATAGGATTAGAGAGCGATAAAGTCTATTTTAAGGCTTCATGGTGACACAGTAGTTGAGTGAGCACCACCCAGAAGTGCAGTAGCACGAGTATGGGATACTGTACGACCCCAGCGCCGCCGGTCTTCCTCGTGTTGCTCTCCAAATACTATAGTACACTTTTCAAAATGAGTGAATTTGAGTATTTCTTAAGTTAGAACTCAAATTCAATCTAATTATGAAAGGTTTATTTCCTAACCAAAACACAGTAGAACCACCTTTCCAGATAGCCAGAGCTCTAGGCTTACTGCCTGGTACTCTCTCCATGTTTCAGTTGGACAATCAAATGTCATCAAGCACCTGTTCTTGTTATCATCAGTACAGTTTCATTTAAGTTTCCCTACTAGAATTATATAAATGTCCATTTTATAATAACTTCAGTATCATGTTAGTTAGTCTGAATTCATGACCAATTATGAATGAATAAAATCGTCACATTGCATCCTCTAACTGCAGGGAAGTATGAAGGGGTCTGTTTACCTCTGGACACCTTGCTGAGGGGTTTAAATCTTATTTAAGATCGCTTTTTTATCAGCTCTTTAAAATGGTTGGTGTTGGGAAATCTTTTCAAGTTAGTGTTTGCTTGCCACTATAAACATGGCAGTCTAGTTTTGAAACTTCAGATAATGGAAAAGGGCAGCTACACAGCACTGTACAGTAGTCAGTTCACTAGAAGCTTCCACCTGAGGCTTAGTACTGTATCAGTTTGTAGCAAGGCAGCTTTTTGGTTGGTTGGAAGAACTGCAAGTGATTCTTCAGGTATCCTTCCACCAACCAATCAGCTGCCTTGCTACAAACTGACCCTAGGCCTCATTGAAAGCTTAGAGTGAACAGACAAAAGTATTTCACATAAGCGTGCAGGTTTTCATGGTACAGTATTAATCTTCAGTAATGGAAAGATATCTGCAGCTGTAACTTACATTAACCAAGTCTCTAGTCCCAAGAACACAGCTTTTGCATTTATACACTATAAGGCACCTTGATGAGAGTGAGGGTATTGATGAGTTAGTTGTGGAGTGAAGAGAATATGTGAAATACAGCATCATGGTAGGTATTTGACATTGCTACATGTGTGTAAAAATGTAATACAGTAAGTGCTTATGAAAAGATGGATGGATGGTTTGAATATCTGAAAGTGGGGTTAACTGTTGAATTGGTGAGTTTAATGTTAATGTATGTAAATTCTCTCCATTATAAAGGAAGATTTATTTATTTATTTTTTAAGTATACTGTGGTTACCATACAGTACATTTTGGTATATTATTGCAATGCGTTGGTAATTACCTTCATTCATCGCTTTTTATAATAAAAAATCAGTAATTACTGTACATTAGGTTACTTACTTTAGTGAAACTTGTATGTTGTGACAACACTACTGTATCTTAAATATGCCAATTTAATGCGTTTTCTCCAAAATTCACAGGTTAGATGAATTTATTGGTAACCAGATATTTTCAAAGCAATATTCTTAGACATTTGGATCTACTTTTTTTGCATTTTGGCAGATTAATTTAGTTAGGGTAACAAATATTGTAAGATGACCTTAAGGATCCTGCAACAGTATTATGAGTGTTGACTCTGCCAGTGAGTTTGACAACGATGAACAAATACTGTAGGTTGTTCTTTGGTTATATCCCCAGGACAGGTATACCTCAATTTATCATAAGGTTGCATTCCTCAAAACCATTGTAAATTGAATAATATTTATCCATTGACTACCAATATAAATTAGGGGATACATTCCTCGAAAAAATAATTCTCCAAGTAATGGTGGGAGTCATCTTTTCACCAGCCTCAGTGCATGTTGTCATCTCCAACCTAACATCTAAAGTGATGGCTTTGTGGGTTTACTTACCATTAGGGGTTTTGCTGCGATTTGCATCATAATACACGAAAAGATCAATTACACCCCCCATTAAAATTTTATATATACTTATACTGTATATAAAGAGAGTACTGTATGATTGTTCTTTGACGACAAGTGGATTCGATTGCTGGGAGGAAAAGATATAAACAAGTACATAAATGTAGTGTTATTTATAGTATACTCTGTAATGGTTGCACAAATATGTATATACTGTACAGTAGGTGAGACTGGACGGAGCTTGACAAAAACATTATCAGAACACAAAACAGA